GGTTCATCAATCTTGTTTCTCCTTTCAAAGAACTAGCTCTTGGTTTTGTTGATCTTTTGTATTGTTTTTTTTTGTCTCTATGTCGTTTATCTCCGCTCTGATCTTTATTATTTCCTTCCTTCTGCTTATACTGGGTTTTTCTTGTTGCTCTCTTTCTAATTCTTTGAGTTGTAGGGTTAGGTAATTTATTATCATTGTTTCTTGTTTTTTGCAGTAAGCTTGTAGAGCTATGAACTTCCCTCTCAAGACTGCTTTCGCTGTGTCCCATAGGTTTTGGATTGTTGTGTTTTCATTGTTGTTTGTTGCCATGATGTTTTTTATTTCTTGTTTGATCTCTCTGGTAACCCAGTCGTTGTTTAATAGCATGCTATTTAGTCTCCATGTGTTTGATTTTTTTGGATTGTTTTTATTGTAGTTGATTTCCAGTTTTATGCCATTGCTGTGTAAATGTTTATGTTTGTTTGTTTGTTTTCCCCACAAGTCCTGCGTGGTTCAGGGTTCAGGATCTGGAAGAGTGCTGCACGCAAATGAAAGAGACAAGAGACGAAATAATAATTTGGAAATATTGGGGGGCCAGGCAGGCAAGTTCAACTCAAGGGGAAGGACTTCCACTGGTGCTCAGGCCTCACCAACCTTTTATTAGTTTGGGATACTTCCATAGCCCTTAGGCAGGCAATTCCCAGTAACAGGCAGACTTGCCCTTTAGCAAGGATTTACTTAATAATAAATGGGAAGTTGATTCAGCTACCATTGTCTGGACTAACAGTAGGTGCACAGCCCTGACCTTTGCCAGGATTTCAAGGGTCACCAGCCTCCCGGGTTCCTTGTCCATACCTCTCAGCTAGTGAAGACAATAGATGGCTTCCCACATCTCCTCCTTCTCTTTTCCTTAAAAAATCTTGAAAAGTGAATGCCACCTAAAAGGGTTCGAGTCCTTTCAAGACTTTTCATTCCACATCTGCAGACTAGAAATAAACATGAGAACAAAAATGAGACAAGCAATAGTGGTTATGCTGAGAGGCAAATGTCATGTCCTTTTTAAATTGCTGCCCTGTATCCAAGGAATCAGTCTGTAGTAAGTTTCTTTCTGGGCCAACAGTTCTTTGAGTCCCAATTTCAATGTCCAACAGTTATTTATGTGTACATGCCAGCAATGATATGCTAGTTCTGGATGGTGGGCAAACGGTGGCAGTGCAGGTCCAACCTTCTCTGGCTTGGTCCTGGGCAACCTGCAGCGACGCACAGCTGCTGACTGCTAGTATGGCAAGGCGTCTTCACCATCTCCATCTCTGGACTGTTTCTCCTCTTGTCTTCGTGGCTGGAGCAATCTGGTCAGTTTCTCTCTGGGATCCGTTGTTGCAGGAAATCCACAGGGGCTTGGAGGAGTTTTCTGGAAATATATAAACATATTCTCAACCAAAGGTTAATAAAGGAATCTTTTCTATAAACTAAACTTGGGATCCTTTCATATTTGCTTAAACGATTTTCCTTTGGCTTATTTTGACACCATGTATGTTTTCATGGGTGTCTTATCTTCAACATTACAAGTGAAAAATAATTTTTAAAGTAACATTTTCTTGATGTAATTTACCCACAGGGGATTATTCCACTATCCCCCTTCTTTTTTTTTCTTTTTCTTTTTTTTAAAATATATTTTATTGATTTTTTACAGAGAGGAAGGGAGAGGGAATAAAGAGTTAAAAACATCGATGAGAGAGAAACATCGATCAGCTGCCTCCTGCACGCCCCCTACTGGGGATATGCCCGCAACCAAGGTACATGCCCTTGACCAGAATCGAACCTGAGACCTTTCAGTCCACAGGCTAATGCTCTATCCACTGAGCCAAACCGGTTAAGGCCCCCCTTCTTTTTTGATTTAAATAATATTAAGAGGCTTTTGGAAATTTTGCAATGCAGTCTTGATAACTTTTTAATTTTAATTTCCTGTACAGAAATATGACTGGTTTGGATTCATTGCATGTTAAGCAAGTTTGCTATGAGATAACCATTAGTAAAAAATTAGTTAATGCTTCAGGAACAGTTTCCTGCCCAGTACAACAAAGTTTTTATGAATATGCATTTATTTTAATTAGCCAATTTAAATCAATCTGAAATAAGGTTTTTTTTAACTTTACTTGTCCTAAGTTATGGACAGTAAATGACAATTAAATTTCTGGTATTAGTCTTTGGGTAACTTTACATGAACTTTGTTTAGGGAGGCAAAATTACAAATTACTTACTTTAGCTTATGAGGCCCAATATATTGATTTTTAATTACAGTTAGACATCTGAAGGTAACCTCTTTTTATTTCCTTCCAGAGCACTTATTAGGCCACACTTAGAGAGTTTCTTTTAAAAGACAATTTTCTTTCTTTTTTACAGAAAGCAACAAATGTAATAAACATGGTTGCTTTTTGAGATTTTTAACAAATACTGCCAAAAAGCCATATATTTCAAGTGATTTTCTATTTATAGTGACTGTAATTATTGTCAAATTTAGTATTTTAACAACAATCTTAGTTTACTCTGTAAATATTAGCAATTTTATTTTTAAAGATAATCCCCTTTTGGCTTATTTGCATATACAGAGGTATTATGGGAGGTTTCAGTAATTTTCCTAGACTTTACTTGGATTCAATTATAATTTCAGCATATAAAGAATTCTATGTAAGATTTTAAGATCAGGCACATGGCTTATTGCAAACAGTGTATTGAGCATTGAAAACAATTCATAGACTCCCAATCTGTGAAAAGAAAATACCCTGAGCTTCACTAGCAGGCGCCCCCACAGGGAATCATGACTCTTGGCTTGCCCAGTGTCCCTGACGGGACACATGCTACCCCCCTGAGAGTGTCCTGTTTAAACTTGGCTCTGAATCTCTGCAAGTTTCTGAAGCAGATGCCTTAGCAACCCATGTGACTTATTCCTTGCTCTTGATTAGAGCTCAGGCGCATGGTCTCTCCTGATTGGCTAATTCAAAGGGAAGGGTTGGCCTTTGCTGTTTCAAGATGGCGGCCCCCAGGGGAGATGCAAGCCATGTGGCCAACATGGCGGCTGTGTACACTGTTCTTTGCAATTAAATTTAAACTGGTTTTTGTATTAAAAATTTCAGTTGAGATCATAGAATTAATCCTCTTTTTTTTAATCAGACCAACAAGCAACATATTTTGAATTCCTAATTATTTCAGAGAAAACAAAAATTATTTTTCAAAAATAAATTTCTGCCAAAACCGGTTTGGCTCAGTGGATAGAGCGTCGGCCTGCGGACTGGAAGGTCCCAGGTTCGATTCCGGTCAAGGGCATGTACCTGGGTTGCGGGCATATCCCCAGTAGGAGATGTGCAGGAGGCAGCTGATCGATGTTTCTCTCTCATCGATGTTTCTAACTCTCTATCTCTCTCCCTTCCTCTCTGTTAAAAAATCAATAAAATATATTTAAAAAAATAAAATTAAATTAAAATAAATAAATAAATAAATAAATTTCTACACTTTAGGCATTTAGCTACCACAAGTACACAATTTCTCCCAATTCAATCCGAACCTTAAACTTGTAGCTGGCAAGTCAAATATTTAGCATTTCTTTAGATTAATAACATTAAAAATTTTTTCAAGAATAAATTTCAAAAATACAAGACATGATCAATTAATAGATTTAATTCTGCCCTCTAGATTTTTCATGAGGCAAATTTAGATTAATATTTCAGTATTTTGTCATTTCAAACATACCTAGATATAAGTTTTTATCATTTGATTCAGTAAACTCCAAGGTCCCAAGTTTCCAGTGGCTCTGGAAAACCACGCTTGAGGCTTGCAAAACAGGTTTGGCCCAGCCCTTGACTTTAAAATGACCATAATTTTGGGGGAGGGGGTGGGGGGGCGGGGAGTCAAGAAGCAAACTTGTAGTTACATTGTTTTCTGCCGGTTGCTTGCCAGCGGGAAATTTCAAAATTGGCCAGGAGATTGCAGCTGGGGGGGGGGGGGGCAGGGGGCAGGGGCGGGGAATAACTGTTTTCTGCTGGCGAAACAAGTTTGATCTAACCTGGTCCATTTAAATGTCAAAGAGCTAAGCTAGTTTCTCCCTGGGCCATTGGACCTTCACAATTAATACATTATTCATTCACTTTTCACTAGCACCCCAAAAACTACTCTTTATTATAGAAACACCAATCCCACCATTAGAACCAGCCTGCACCCCTCCCTGGATCACACGCGCCATCCTTCTTAGGAAAAAAACAGTCCTGGGGCTTATTCTATACCACGTGCAAAGAGATTTCAGCTCAAAATTGTCTACTATCCAAAATCAGATGATAGACACATTTTGTCTTAAGCCAACTTTCTCTTTACATGTGCACAGAAATCCCAGGTGCATTTCTAACTTTTGTAAAACTTTTCATGGCGAGAAGGAGATTTTTCCTAGCTCACTTGGGAAGGAGTCAGGATCACCACGTGTCTCCCTTCTCCCACCTCCTGCTTGCTTTTCATAAGTTATTTGAGCATTCAGCCCACGGTTTGAGTAGGCTTGCTCCTGACATTTCTATGATAGGAAAAGCAAGCCTTTCTTCTACCGCCATGTCCTTCAATCCTTCTCTGATGGCTTTTTGCATAGGTGATTCTATTAATGGCGAATTAAACATTTTAGGATTAGGACATGGAGGTGGAGGGGGCCATGAAGGCCATTCCTCCCATTTTTTCTTTTCTTTCTGCTCCTCTTTAGGAGCGGAGGGTGCAAGGGGAGGAGTGTTATCCTCCTTGGCCTCTCTTAAAGGCTCTAGCAAATGAAATACTGTGTTTCACAAGGAGAAACAATTTGGAGGCAACTTTTTTCCCTGCTGCTGAGCTTTTTTCAAGTTCTGACTAACTCTTTGCCAAACATTCAAAATCTAATGTACCTTCTTCAGGAAAGCAAGGGTTATGTTCTATAACATCAAGCAAAAATTATAAGAGATTACCTTCTGAAACTTTAACTCCTTAAGCATGCAAACCAAAAGCCTTCAATAAAGTTTCTTACTTTTTAAAAGCTGAATTCTGCCCCATTAGCCTGGCTAGAAAGACACGTTCCCACCCTACTTACAGATCCCGATTTCTGCAGCTGATCGTGGGCTTTGCATGCCGTGAAATATCTCCCCACCTTTACGGTGAATTCTTCCCCACTTTTACGGTGAATCTTCGTTTTTTCACTCTAGGCGAAGTCTTCTCTTCCAGATGTCCCGTTGAGGTGCCAGATGTGTAAAGTTGTATGTTTTTGTTTGTTTTCCCCCCAAGTCCCACGTGGTTCAGGGTTCAGGATCTGGAAGAGGGCCCACACAAATGAAAGAGACAAGACAAGAAATAATAATTTGGGGGTGTCAGTGTGGAGGAGACTGAGTATTCTACCTTGTAAATACTGTTATTTGTATATACTGTACATGATGACATCGGTGGGCACGAACCAAGCCAGGGGAAACTGGGAACAACCTCAAAACCAAAACCAGACACAGCACAAGCAACGGCCACAGGCCACTGCGGAACAAATTCGACTTGCACAGATGATTTCAGACCATAATGATGCTGACTTTGAGGAAAAGGTGAAACAATTGATTGATATCACAGGCAAGAACCAGGATGAATGTGTCATTGCTTTGCATGACTGCAATGGAGATGTCAACAGAGCCATCAATGTACTGCTGGAAGGAAACCCAGATACGCATTCCTGGGAGATGGTCGGAAAGAAAGGAGTCTCAGGACAGAAGGATGGTGGCCAAATGGAATCCAATGAGGAAGGCAAAGAAAATCGAGACCAGGACAGAGATTATAGTCGGCGACGTGGTGGGCCACCAAGACGGGGAAGAGGCGCCAGCCTTGGACGAGAGTTTAATCCGTATGTTATGGCTCCAGGGCTGTTACATGCTTACCCGCCACAAGTATATGGTTATGATGACTTGCAGATGCTTCAGACAAGATTTCCATTGGATTACTACAGCATCCCATTTCCCGCACCCACCACGCTGCTGACTGGGAGGGATGGTAGCCTGTCCAGCAACCCTTATTCTGGTGACCTCACAAAGTTTGGCTGTGGGGATGCCTCCTCCCCAGCCCTGGCCACTACCTTGGCCCAACCCCAACAGAACCAGACGCAGACTCACCACACCACGCAGCAGACATTGCTGAACCCCGCGCTGCCTCCTGGCTACAGTTATACCAGCCTGCCATGCTACACAGGGGTTCCAGGCCTCCCCAGCACCTTCCAGTATGGGCCTGCTGTGTTCCCTGTGGCTCCTACCTCTTCCAAGCAGCATGGTGTGAATGTCAGTGTGAATGCATCGGCCACCCCTTCCCAACAGCCAAGTGGATATGGGTCTCATGATACAACTCTGATGTCTCAGTCACCTCCAGTAACACGGGCGTGCCAGATATCTCGGGTTCTGTGTACTCCAAAACCCAGCAATCCTTTGAGAAACCAGGTTTTCATTCCGGTGCTCCTGCTGCCTCCTTCAACTTGCCTTCAGCCCTAGGAAGTGGGGGGCCCATCAATCCAGCCACAGCTGCTGCCTACCTACCTGCCCCCTTTATGCAACTTCTGACCCCCCATCAGCAGTTGCACTCCCAGATCCTTCACTATCACCTACAGCAGGATGGCCAGACGGGCAACGTAGCCAGACCAGCTCCATCCCGCAGAAGCCCCAGACCAACAAGTCTGCCTACAACAGCTACACCTGGGGGGCCACTGAGGTCCCGACCCTCTCTTCCTGGTCCCATCTTCTGAGAGGGTTTCTCAGCCTGGCAACTATGGAAACAGCATCAAAGAGAGGAATGTGGAGGGGTTCCGCTGCCCCACCCTCACCCCCAGTGGCCCACCCCATGCCTCAAAAAAAAATAATTTGGAAATATTGGGGGGCCAGGCAGGCAAGTCCAACTCAAGGGGAAGGACTTCCACTGGTGCTCAGGCCTCACCAACCTTTTATTGGTTTGGGATACACCCATAGCCCTTAGCCCAGTAACAGGCAGACTTGCCCTTTAGCAAGGATTTACATAATAATAAATGGGGAAGTTGATTCAGCTACCATTGTCTGGACTAACAGTGGGTGCACAGCCTGACCTTTGCCAGGACTTCAAGGGTCACCAGCCTTCTGGGTTCCTTGTTTATACCTCTCTGCTAGTGAAGACAATAGGTGGCTTCCCACAATTGTGTTCTGAGAAGATGCTTGATATGATTTCTATCTTCTTGAATTTGAAGAGACTTTGCCTGTGACCCAATATATGGTCTATCTTTGAAAATGACCCATGTGCACTTGAGAAGAATGTATATTCTGTGTCTTTGGGGTGAAATGTTCTGAAGATGTCAATTAATTCCATCTGATCTAGTGAGTCATTTAGGGTTGATGTTTCTTTGCTGATTTTTTGTTTAGAGGATTTGTCCAATGGTGATAGTGGGGTATTAAAGTCCCCTACTATGATTGTATTGCTGTCAATCTCTCCCTTGATCTCCTCTAGAAGTTTTCTTATGTATTTGGGTGCTCCTATATCGGGTGCATACATGTTTACCAGAGTTATTTTTTCTTGTTGGATTGCTCCCTTTAGTATTATGAAGTGGCCTTCCTTATCTATTGTTATGTCCTTCACTTTGAGATCTAATTTGTCAGATATAAGTATTGCTACCCCAGCTTTTTTTTTCATTTCCATTCGCCTGAAAAACCTTTTTCCATCCCTTTACTATCAGTCTGTATGGGTCTTCTTTTCTGAGGTGGGTTTCCTGTAGACAGCAGATATATGGGTCATGTTTTCTTATCCACTCAGTTACCCTATGTCTTTTGATTGGGGCATTTAATCCATTTACATTTAAAGTTATTATTTATAGATACTTGTTAGTCGCCATTTTTATTCCTTACCCCTGTGTTCCTTCTTTGTTTCCTATTTTTTCTTTTTACAGCAGACCCTTTAGCATTTCTTGCATTGCTAGTTTGGTGGTAATAAACTCCCGTAGTCCTCTTTTGTCTGTGAATCTCCTGATTTCACCCTGAATTTTTTTTTAAAATATATTTTATTGATTTTTTACAGAGAGGAAGGGAGAGAGATAGAGAGTTAGAAACATCGATGAGAGAGAAACATCGATCAGCTGCCTCCTGCATATCTCCCACTGGGGATGTGCCCGCAACCCAGTTACATGCCCTTGACCGGAATCGAACCTGGGACCCTTCAGTCCGCAAGCCGACGCTTTATCCACTGAGCCAAACCGGTTTTGGCATCACCCTGAATTTTGATTGATGGCCTTGCTGGGTACAGTATTCTTGGATTCAGACCCTTCCTTTGCATGACTTTGTATATCTCATTCCATTCCCTTCTTGCCTGATGTGTTTCTGTTGAGAAATCAGTCGCTAGTCTGATGGGGGATCTTTTGTAGGTAACTTTCTGTCTCTCTCTGGCAGTTTTTAAGATTCTTGCTTTGTCGTTGGTGTTTGCCAATTTAATTATAATGTGCCTTGGCATCGGTCTTTTGGGGTTCATTTTGTTTGGGACTCTGTGAGCTTCTTGGATTTGTGTGAGTTTTTCTTCCCTATATCAGGGAAGTTTTCTGTCATTATTTTTTCAAACAGGTTTTCTATTCCTTGCTCAGTTTCCTCTCCTTCTGGCACCCCTATTATGCACATGTTGTTTTGTTTCATGTTGTCCCAAAGTTCTCTTAGGCTCTCCTCCTGCTTTTTAATTTTTTTTCTAGTAGCTGCTCTGCTTGGGTATTTTTTCCTAGCTTGTCTCCTAGCTCACTGATGCAGTCCTCTGCTTCTTCTAGTTTACCGTTGGTGCTTTCTATTGAGTTCTTTATAGCAGTGCTGTCATTTTTCATTTCCTCTTGGTTCTTACACATATTGTTGAATTTGTCTTCCATTCTTTTCATCCACCTTATGACCATTTCTCTGAATTCTTTCTCTGACAGGTTGCTTGCCTCCATTGCCTCCATTTCGTTTACTTCCTTTTCTAGTGATGCCTGTTTTTCTTTCATATGTGGGCTGTTTCTTTGTCTCCCCATGATCTCTCTTCTCCAGATGTTTGGTTATGTAGTTCTCTCTCTGCTGTATTGATTTAAAGGCACAAAATACAACACAACAAGGCACAACGCACAAGGCACTGAACACAAATGTATTCACGATACTAATAACCCCAAATAAAGGTGAGCACCAGAGCAAAGAGAATTAGGGGATAAGGAAGAAGAGAAAAAGAAAGAAGAGAAAAAGAAAAGAAAAGGAGTGCAAAAATGAAATTGGGAAAAGGGGGAAAAAAGTAAGAGAGAAAAGAAAGAGAATGAAATAGACGAGGGGAAGAAACTATTTATATGGGGAGAAAACTCCAATAGAACAGCCACTAATCCCAACAAATTTCAGCAACAGATCCCTAGCGATGAATGCAAACTACGAACAACAACTAATATCAAGTGAGGCGAGGGAAAACAGAAGCAAATTAAAAAAAAAAAAAAAAACGGAAAGAAAAACCAATAGAAAAAGAAAAACAATCTCACAAACAAGCATAAAAAACCCAATATACTCAACAATCAAGCAAACAACAACAAAACGACAGAGAGAGAAAAAATTTGGATAGTGAAGAAAGAGAGGAGAGAGGTGTACATGGATTTAGAGTAGGGGATTAGAAATTAGATATATAGGTAGGGTGAAATTTTAACAGGGGGTAAAAAGAAGGAATAGGGAAAATCTAAAGCAGGAATAGGGTAAGAGAAACAGGACAACAAAATGGGAAAAGTGAGGAAGAGAGTTTTAGCATAAAGGTAAAGTTGAGGTAGAGTAAAATGATGCTAAAGGAAAGATGAAAATAGAATGTAGAACACTAATCCCAAAATAAAATAAAGAGAAAATAAAATGACACTTTAAAAAAAGGTAAAATGGTAGTGTTAATAGTACTGGTTAAAAATAAAAATGTAGTAATTAAAAAGGTAAAATCAGGTGATGAAAAAAGAAAAAAAATTTAGTTTCTTAAGTAAAAGGTGAAAAAAATAAATAAATAAAAATGTGCAGTAGTGAAGGTCCTTCACTTCCTCTATTCTTCTGTTTGGCATGCCTTAATCCTGTCAGGTATTCAGGGGAGTGTTGAAGTTCCCTGCGATACACTGTTCCTCTGTGTTGTAAGCCATAGTCCTGATTTTAAAGCAGGCAGTATTTGTTTCCCAGACTGCCTTTATTTGTGTTTAGAGAAGAGTCAGTTTGTGGTTCAGCCCCTGGGTGGCAGTGTTTCTGGATTGACCTCCGGGGCTATAAGTCCTGTCTAGCCAGTAGTTAGGTTTTGTTTTCCCTATCGCACTTAATACTGGTTTGGGAGAGTCGACTGCCCCAGAGCTGGTTCTTTGATCGTTACTCCCTGCTCTGATTTCCAGGTTCCACAAAAACAGCTTTTCCCTGCAATCTCTGTGAGTGACCCCAATTGGGCGATCTTATGTATTGGGTTTAATAATCAAACACAAGGATTTAAGGGGGAGAGAAAAAAAAAAGAGCCTGAGAAGGTGCGCGAACTCGCAACCCTCCACCGTCCAGCTCTGTGCGCAGTCTCTTCCGCACGTCCTCTCTCCCCTGGCACTAAGCAGCAGGCACACTGGCAAAATCCAAGGCTGCTTTTTTTTTTAAAATTAATTAAATCTTTATTGTTCAGATTATTACATTTGTGCCTCTTTTTTCCCCCCATAACTCCCCTCCACCCAGTTCCCACCCCACCCTCCTCCCTCACTCCCCATCCACTGTCCTCATCCATAGGTGCACGATTTTTGTCTAGTCTCTTTCTGCATCCCCCTCGTCCCTTTCCCCCCAAGAATAGCCAGTCCATTCCCTTTCTATGCCCCTGATTCTATTATAATCACCAGTTCATTCTGTTCATCAGATTATTAACTTGATTTTCAGATTCTCTTGTTGATAGATATGTATTTGTTGTTCGTAATTTGTATCTTTACCTTTTTCTTCTTCTTCCTCTTCTTAAAGAATACCCTTCAGCATTTCATATAATACTGGTTTGGTGGTGATGAACTCCTTTGGCTTTTCCTTATCTGTGAAGCTCTTTATCTGACCTTCAATTCTGAATGATAGCTTTGCTGGATAAAGTAATCTTGGTTGTAGGTTCTTGGCATTCATCACTTTGAATATTTCTTGCCATTCCCTTCTGGCCTGCAAAGTTTCTGTTGAGAAATCAGCTGACAGTCGTATGGGTACTCCCTTGTAGATAACTGACTTTCTTTCTCTTGCTGCTTTTAAGATTCTCTCTTTGTCTTTTGCTCTTGGCATTTTAATTATGATGTGTCTTGGTGTGGTCCTCTTTGGATTCCTTTTGTTTGGGGTTCTCTGTGCTTCCTGGACTTGTAAGTCTATTTCTTTCACCAGGTGGGGGAAGTTTTCTGTCATTATTTCTTCAAATAGGTTTTCAATATCTTGCTCTCTCTCTTCTTCTGGCACCCCTATAATTCGGATGTTGGTACACCTGAAGCTGTCCCAGAGGCTCCTTACACTATCTTCATATTTTTGGATTCTTTTTTCATTTGCTTTTCTGGTTGGGTGTTTTTTGCTTCTTCGTATTTCAAATCTTTGACTTGATTCTTGTGATCCTCTAGTCTGCTGTTGAAACTCTGCATAATATCCAGCCCTCTCCACATGCACCTCCGCACCTTAGTATTTTACTTCCGCACTGCGCCTCCTCTGAGTCTGGGTACGCTTTTCTCTTTCCTTCTAGTTGTAGAATTTCCACTCAGCCAGCCTTCCTGTGGTTCTGGATGATGTCTGTTCCGTCTTTTAGTTGTATTTTTGAAGTGGTTGTTCGAGGCCGCAAACTCCTGTGTTTACCTATGCCGCCATCTTGGTTTCTCAACTCAAGGCTGCCTTTTTGCATCAAGTCCGGCTATGGGCTTATTTTTAGAGTTCTCTTCTGCCAGCAGCCCTGCAGGACCCTTTCCACACTCGCGGGTCATGCTGGCCCCAATGGCCGCGGACTTTGTGGGGCGCAGACTTCCCCCTCGCGCGTTTCTCTCTCCAACCTGAACTGCAAACCGCACCTTTATCTAGGCAAAATCTGACCTTTCTGTGAGGAGGAGTAGGGCTTGTCTGAGTCCACATATTCGTGCTGCTTGAGATCCAGTATTCCTGGGGTAGAAGCTGATCCCTGGATGCCGTGGTTGCAGGGTGCCTGGATGTATACGCTTCCGGTATCAGCCACTCAAGATGGCGTGGACTCCACGGCTGAGCCGGCTGCTCCGGGAGAGATTTCAGCAGCAGTGGAGGCTGCCCAGATAGGGGAGCCCCATCCGGCAGTCTCCAACAGTCCCCTTTTCTCCTGGAGTCCTCTGCCTTTCCTGGCTGCAAACTGTCTCCCAGCTGAATCTCCTCTGCCAATTCAGGCTGGATGTTACTCGTTTTAGCTGCTCACCCTATCTGCTCAGGGACAAGGCACGGGACATGTCCGTCTATACCGCCGCCATTTTAGATCCCATTTTGTTAATATCTTGATGTCATTTAAAGAATTTGGGAATTTTTAAAAATAAAATTCAGATTTCTCACTTCTCTTAAAATATCCAAAGAGCTGGCAGCATTGGCCCCATGGTGCAGCATGGATTAATCGCTAGCGTTGAGAGGGAGCTGCGTGCTTTAGGTGGGCACAGCTCTTCACCAGGGCCCCCACCCTCTCTTTGCCAGGGTCCCAACCTCTCTCTAGGTCCATGACACCATGGCCAAGCATTAGCTCCCACTTGTTAACTCACTAGCTCTGCTTTTCCTTCCCTCCAATCATCTTCACTTACTTTTGTATCTTACCTGTTTGTACACATCTGAGTGTGTGCATCCAGCCTACAGCGTGTGATCATTGTTTTGGTTGCTGGGAGATCTTATTTACTTGTTGTGTCTCGCTTGTGGCCAGTGTTTGAGGTTGCCAGAGAGATGCAACAGAGCCTCAGATGGGGAACAGAATGGTGTGAAGTCGATGGAGATGAGAGGACCCATCAGAAGCATTGCTTTGATTCCATGGCCGGTTATTATGCCATGAGAAGCAATCTGAGGTAGAGAATTATAAGGACTTGCGAACAAGTCAGGCCTGGCTTCCAACCCTGCCCCCCAACAACCAACAATCAATTTGCCTGTGATAGCCCAGCTGAGGTGTGTGCAAAGCTCACAGGAGATTAATGAGAGCTAAGTGACAAAAGGGAACAAAGATCCCACTGGATTCTCAGAAAGTCCCCAGGCAGCCCAGCCTTTGTTTGAGCTGAGCTGACTGTGCATTGTTAGTTGCTGTTCTTGTCCTTGTTCCTGAGGATAAGGTTATCCTGAGGTTGAGAGAGGCAGGGAGTGTTACACAATGTCCACCTGACAGCACTTTTCAATATGTTAAGCAACTAAAGTGAAAAGAGCAGAAATAATGTCCTGGTTGGAAGTTAATATTTGAGCCCACCAATTATTTGCTGGAAGACAATGCCTGCTCAGTTACCACAGATAACAGGTAAAACAAACCTCCTACCAGGCCAGCTGCTAAAAAGGCATCACGCTCTAACCTCGGGCTGTGTAGCTAAACCACTGTAAATAAGACAGAACAAACTATAAGCTTTTTAAAAAATTACTGCTGTTTTGAATGTAAGTCATGTTACACTCCCACCTGCAATGTGCTGTGACTCATGGGTTGAGTTTGCTTTGCATTGGCATTCTCGAGAGCTCCCTACTGTAGGACCAAGGCTCAAGACAAAGAGAGGGGGGGAAACAACAACCTTCATTGAAAGCCCTTTGCCTTACTCCCCACCCCAACCCCACCCTTGCTCTCCACAAGTCCTGCCAAGGAAGTATTTTGCAGAAAAGGGTGAGGCTCTAATAAGAATGAAGGAAATGAAAGCATCAAAATGGATTATTCAGTTCTGCCCTTTATCTAGTCACATTCCTACTAATTCCCTCCCTACCCCCTGGGTGGGGGTGGGGATAGTGGTGAGGGAGGAAAAGAGTGCAATTTAACCTTCATTCTTTTTGAGTGGGAGTACCCATTTCAACCCATTTGAAAGCCTTAAGAAGGTGTTTTTCTGTTCCATTAGTAAGAACAGAAATCAAAATATCTGTTCATTAACAGGGCAAGAAATGGCTATTTTTCAAAAGAAAAATGACAACAGCAAAAATTGTTAATGCTTATTGAATAGAATATATGTGAATATATACATAAACCCTGAATAAGAGTTATCTCATTTAATGTTCTCAACCATGTGAAATAGCAATCACTGCTATTTTCCATCTGAAGAACCTGATGCTTAGAGAGGCTACGTAACTTCATCCTGGTTGCACAGCTGGTCTGTGACCAGCTGGGATTTGAAGCCAATTAGACTGGCTCCAGCATCTGGACTAGGGAACTGCAGAATTAAGGCACTGGCTTCTATCCAGCTGAATGACTTAGAAAAAATATCCATAATAATAAAAGCATAATATGCTAATTAGACCAGATGTCCTTCCGGACATCTTTCCGGACGGCCTTCTGGACAAAGCCAGGGCTGCGAGGGAAGCCTGGGTCCCAGGTGCCTGCCATCAGCCAGAGGGAAGCCAGTGCCAGCAGCTGAGGGAAGGAAGGCCTACTCTTGCACGAATTTCGTGCATTGGGCCTCTAGTATATAGTATAGGCCTTACTTTCCTCATCTGTAAAATAAAGGGTTGTGTTAGGTGATTTTTAAGATCCCTGCCAACTCTTTGGGTCTATGTCTAATCAAAATCCATCATATCTATGCTACTGTGGCCGTTCATTCATCCAGGAAATGATAGGAAGTTAGAGAGTGGTGTGGGATAGAAAGGGGCAGGGAGATTGTTGCATTGTACACCAGGTGTTTTCCTAACTGGGGCAGCTGCTTCAATTGCCAGGGCCAGACAGGTGGGCTAGCTGGGTGACTGGGGGAATGAGATGGGAGCACACCCACTGTTTCTTTAGTTGGGCTGGTTACCTGGCCCAGGAGCATTCTTACCACCTGCACCAATCTGCAGCCCTCCCTCCCCACCTGCTGAGAGCTCCAGGCACCAGCACGTGAGCTTGGAGAACCCCTCTGTAATGTGACCAGACCTGCTGGGCTTCTCTTCCTGGCTCCCCTGAATCTCACTAACCAATTCTTCCAGGAATTTTCCTGCCATCAAGAAGCCTTTGTTCTTTCTTAAGGGTCAGGAAATGGGAGAGGGCATTGGGTGGGGAGTAGAATCCTCGGAGTTCTCTGAAATGCCCTCAGATCTCAAGATGTCAGGCTTATAAAGAGCCCCAGTGAGCAGTCACTCATGCAGTAGATAATACCGCGTCAACAGCACCAGCTATCTGAAGCTCTTTGTGAAACGGGAACCAACTTTTGCTCTCTGGGAACAATGACTCTCACCTTCCTCTCTGGCAGGCAAACGAAGGTGTGCTTTCTTCATTGATGTCATCCGCACCCACCCTTTAAGGTTTCCAGTGGCTCCTAGGTTCCTTCTGCCCTCACCCCATGCCCGCCGCAGTGTAATCCTCACTTCCCTCTTCTGATAGCCTGCACACACATATGCTGTGTAACACCATCAGAAAACATCTGATTCAATCCAGCCAACACCCACCTCTCCACCAGACTTTCTTGCTGCTGACAATAGACATGTTGCAAATGCCTTTTTCCTTATCTGTGTCTGTGTGTGCTCAGAGGTAGCGATAACACTGAAATGAAAAGAGGTGGCCGAGAAACGGGAAGAGAGAGAAGCCGGAGCTGGAGTCCTCCACGCTATGGTTTCCAACGACTGCTAGCCGGCTTGCAGGCTGACCCGAAAGAGGAGAACCACTTACGCTGAAACGCAAGGGGAAAGTGTGAGAAGAGAAGGGAGATGAGGTCAGAATAGAGTGAAGCGAAAGGGGGTGGGGTGAAGGCAGAGAAGCCCAGCCCCGGTGCAGAGGGCCCGTCATTCCTTTCCACCGCGTAATTTGCCGAGATCCGCCACTTGGGATTTCATATGCAAACGAGGAGGGCTTCCCGCAGGCGGGGCCGGGCTGGGCGCCCACTCTGCTCCGCGCTCTGCGTGCGAGCGGCGGGCCGGCTCCAGCGCCCAGGACCGGAGCCCCGGAGCCCAGGAGGACGGCGCGACACTGAAGCGGGGAGTAAATGAGGAATAAAGGAAGCCCGTCTGAGAAGCTGGCGAAATTCAAGACTGGCAAAGGAAGCCCATTCAGCCTCTTCACGCTTGTGTTTTCAGGGACTGGCCATTTCTCAGTCCCTGGAGGGAGATTCCCTGCTCCAAGGAAGTGAAAATAATGAACTTTTGGAGGTACTGCCTTTTTGCTTTCACCGCGCTGAGTATGGTTCTGTTTGTGATACGTTACAACAGCCGATTAAGCCTGCCCCAGAGGAGGCTGAATGGTTCCAGCGAAAGGGACGCCGTAGTCAGTGCCTGTGAGGACGCCCTGGAAGAGAAGTCCGCTGTTCTCTGGGAGAGGACGTTGCCATCGCCTTTGGGAAGTGTCCCCTGCGAGGACTACCTGATCCAGAGCCACTACATCACAAGCCCCCTGTCGGAGGAAGAAGTGGCGTTCCCTTTGGCCTATGTCATGGTCATCCATAAAGACTTTGGTACTTTTGAAAGGCTCTTCAGGGCTGTCTACATGCCCCAAAATATCTACTGTGTTCATGTGGATGAGAAGGCCACAGAGGAGTTTAAGGCATCTGTGTGGCAGTTACTGAGCTGCTTCCAAAATGCCTTTATTGCTTCAAAGACCGAGTCTGTAGTCTACGCGGGAATGTCCAGGCTCCAGGCGGACCTGAACTGCCTGCGAGACCTGGTGGCCTCCGAGGTCCCGTGGAAGTACGCCATCAACACCTGTGGGCAAGACTTCCCCCTGAAAACCAACAAGGAGATCATTCAGCATTTGAAAGCCTTCAAAGGGAAAAACATTACCCCTGGGGTGCTGCCTCCGGCTCATGCAATTGGACGGACTAAGTACGTCCACCAAGAGCACAGAGGCAAAGACCGCTCTTTTGTGAGGAGCACGAATATTTTGAAAACCTCACCTCCACATCAGCTGACCATTTACTTTGGCACTGCCTACGTGGCCCTTACCAGGGAGTTTGTCAACTTCATCTTCCATGACAAAAGGGCCATCGATCTACTGCACTGGTCAAAGGATACCTATAGCCCTGATGAACATTTCTGGGTGACGCTTAATAGGATTCCAAGTAGGTACCGATTTCCATTACCATTTGTTCTTATTCATAGATGGAGTTTGCTGCCATTCAACTCCTCTAGAGAACTGACTCATTTGAAATTACTTGAAAAAAAAAAGATCAAATGCTTAGAAAGCTATTGTCTAGTTGGTTTTTAGTGACATTTTAGTGCCAGCTGTGTTGTCTTACAACCACGTGCAATATGGTGATCTAAGACATATGCTGAGCTACAGGAGCTCTGGCAAACCACCTTTGATGATGTATCCCCACAGTTGCCCACGTTCAGCTCAGTCTTTTGGATGGATGCTTTTCGTAGTCCTCCATAAGCACAGCCCTAGCATCATGAGATTGGTATTTTCCAAAAGCATTCTAGAACTTAGGAGTTGAAATAGGATGTTATACAGTATTACATTGATGCTCAAAGTCATTGCTCAAAGTTCATGGGGTTGTTTTCAGAATCTTTGAATTCTCTTTGGATAGTTCACAAATTATCACTCCAGCTGAAATGTCTCTAGTCGAAGACCTGGACAAATACCCTGGTCTCGACTGATTTGGTTTAATAAATCTAGTCTGGTATTATATTGCCTAGAACAGTGGTTGGCAAACTGCAGCTCTCGAGCCACATGTGGCTCTTTGGCCCCTTGAGTGTGGCTCTTCCACAAAATACAGACTTCTGCGCATGGGCCGCGAAGTTTCAATCGCACTGTACATGCGCGCCCGCATGTGGTATTTTGTGGAAGAGCCACACTCAAGGGGCCAAAGAGCCACTTGTGGCTCGCGAGCCGCAGTTTGCCAACCACTGGCCTAGAAGAATGGTTAACCAGGAGATGAAACATGTAGAGAGATTCTAGCTGGAGTTAATCAAAGGTAAATTCCTAATTTTTAAGTCACAGATTTTTGTTATAAATTCCAGTTTGCAGCCTCTTGTGTTTATATGCTGTGAAGTCTTTTCTGTTGTGTTTCATCATTCAGAAAGGGGTCCAATGTATGCTAGGCAACTGGAGGCAAACAAACAAAAACGCCACCAGCATCAAATTCGTTCTTTGATTAAGGACTGGGTTTCTTTTCACAATTCTGTTTCCCATATGTGTTCTGGGATTACCTGTGTGACCTGCATTCCTTTTCCCAGTGATGTCCCAACACAGTAGTTTCCACTATTGTGCCAGCGTGGCTGTGGTGCCAGCCAGCCCTGTGTGAGGGTGGCCCTATGCTTGTCATGCTTGCAATAACTTCCTGATCTTGCTGTGGTATTGTTATTGTTGGGGCATTGAGTGCTGTCTGAAACTATGCTCACATCTGAGAGTACACTCACAGCAGTCATTTCCCAGTAACTCAACATTCCTAAAAGCTAAGCAAGAGTGGTTGGGCATAGAAATCTGCTCAGAGAAAGAAGCAGAAAAAGGTCCAGCAAGATGTCTGGGGACACAGATGTTGGGGTCCAGCCCCAGCAGGTCCAGGGGTTCCCATAGGTGTGGACGGAGTCGGCGGTGAATGAATGACGGGGGGGGGGGGGGGGGGGGGGGGGGCGGGGGGGGCAGCGTTCAGTTGATCAGCATGGTTGGGTTCTCTATTGTTCTATTACATCTATATTTATACTATTTGATCCCATAATCATGCCTCTATAATTACATCATGGTATGTTTTGGGAAACATACAGTTCCTAGTTTCATTTCCATAATCCTGTCTCTATCTAGTTCTGTTGATTTTAATCTTGTCTAGGATAATCTCTGTGTTCCATTATAAGGGCTATTCCAAGGTCATTATTCTATTGCTCTACTGATAAGCTATAAGGAAGTGACTGAAGGAGTTTATCCTACCCAGTAAAGGTTATGTCCTCCCAGCCTCGCTGCTTACCTTCCCTGGGACTGCCCTGTGTCAGTGGGTCTCCAGGGGTATAGACTTTGGTGCTTTCCCTGGTGGGCAGACCCCTGGGGATGTGGGCCCAACAAATCCCGAATTTATTGCCAACAGTCTTAGTCCAAGTTCTTCATAAGTAGTACATGGTATTCCTGTAACACTAGGGGGATTTACTGATTTATTCTCTTCCTTAGTCCTGCTAACCCCTAACCTGGGGAAAACAACCTGTCTCAGGAAGGTGGTCCTGGTTAAAACACATAGCGCTTAAAAGGGGGAGCAAACATGTCATATACGCCAGGTCCCTTGAAACATACGCTGTGCAGATGTTTCTCCCCTGCAGCGACTGCGTCAAGCAGCAAGGGTGGATCGGCTTCCAGCAAATGGGGCTGGACCCCAACACACAGATATATGCTATCCTCTGGGCAGTTTATTTTCAGAGATACTAAGTTGTCAAATCAGGAAGACTGGGGAGGGGTGAACCAATATTTACCACAGTGCAGTGAGTGTTCATCCTTATTGCTTATTAGTTCTAACTCATGAAAATATTATATATGTGGCATCTAATACTGTTTTCATTGATACAGTTTGTGCCAGATATGTGATGTTCTACATCATTTCTTTTAATTACAAGAAAAAATCATTGTTATGCTCATATACGGATGAAGAAAAAGAGACGCAGAGAGCCTGAGCACTGTGCTCACCTTCACACAGCTTGTTGAAGGCACAGTGGGGATCTGGTCCTGGATTTGTGTGGCCGGAGGTTTAAACTGTTCCTCTTGCAGCGGGAGAAGAAGGAATGATTGCTTATTCTTTCCTATATATTTAAAGCAAAGTCCCTGCAGAATCACAGAGAGGAGAGAGGAGAAGGGTGGGGAGAAATGAGGAGGGCAGCGGAAGGAAGCTCCACCTCACCACTTAAGCTGGAAATAAGGTTAGCAGGGTGTGTGTGTGTGTGTGTGTTGAAAGACAGTATGCTGAGGCTTACTGGGCCACTGTGCTAGCTTGAGTCACGGGAGGGCTGTTCTTGCTGGAATTGGTCACCACACCCTACCCTGGCTTCTGTGCCAGCTTCCTGAGTCCCATCTGGAACAGGCTGTGAAGAGCATTGACCATTTGTCTTCACACAGTATAGGAAAGAAGTCTTCAAAAAAGAATAGAATATTTTGACATTTACATTGTCAGCATTCAACAAGTGCTTATTTAGCCTTTCGTGGTGCCAAGCATTATTCTGTGTATTGAGGATGCCTCTGTAAGCAGACAGACATGACTCATGGAATTTTAGTTTCAGGATTTGAATGGTTGAGCATGAAATTTAGTGCCTGTTTAGTACAATGGGCTAAATTCAGTATGATTTCAGTATATTGGACTAATTTTTCTCCACTTTAACCCCTCAAAAAAATATTCCCCCCCCCGAATATCTGTCCCTATATATGTTTTTTTTTAATTATTGATTGATTTGAGAGAGAGAGAGAGAGAGAGAGAGAGAGAAAGAGAGAAACATCAATTTGTTGTTCCACTTACTTATGCATTCATTGGTTGACTCTTGTATGTGCCCTGGCCGGGGATTGAACCTGAAACCTTGTCATATCGGGACAATGCTTTAACCATCTGAGCTATCTGGCCAGGGCTATCTGCCCCTATTTTTAAAACAATTTTAAAAGTTAGCTTTAAAAAAACAAACACACCAGAAAATATGTTCACAAAGATCAAAATTTTTAAATTTTGCACTCCACTGGTGACTAATATTATAGCTTTCTTCCAGAGAAGTTTTATTAAGTTTATAGATAATAAAACTAATTAAATATGTGTGGAAAATAGTACACATACTTTTTAAAAGTTCACCACAGAAATACACAGAAAAAGAAAAGGGTCCTTATCTTACTAGTATTTTTTTTGTGTGTCCTTATTTTAAACACTCTGTTGTCTGTGAGAACAAAATACCACAAGATGTGGTTTTATTTAAATAGGTCATAAGCAAACACTTGGGGAGCTAATTTTAAAAACTCAACTTTTGTCTTATTTTGAAGGATTTTCTATCAAAGTCCTAGGAGTCTTGTGGGACAAAGGCACCAGGAACCTTTGCTTCCCAGAGTCCAACAATGGTGAGCTCTCAGACCAGCTAGTACAGCGGTTCTCAACCTGTGGGTCGAGACCCTTTCGGGAGTCGAACGACTCTTTCACAGAGGTTGCCTAAGACCATCGGAAAACATATATAATTGCATATTGTTTTTGTGATTAATCACTATGCTTTAATTATGTTCAGTTTGTAACAATGAAATTGGGGGTCATCACAACAGGAGGAACTGTATTAAAGGGTCGTGGCATGAGGAAGGCTGAGAACCACTGGGCTAGTAGAACACCCGTTGTTCCCTTGTTTAAAGTTTACAGTGGCTCCTCATTATCTTGAGTCAGGTTGAGCTCTTCATATGGCATGACCTCTGCCACCGGGCTCCCTCCCACTTCCCCACCCATTCTCTCTACCCTCATTTCCTTTTACTTGGTGCCTTATACTTTATGTTCCAACTCCTTGGTTCTACATACTTTTGCAATTTTCACCTGATTTTTTTGGGTGGCCCTTTATGATGTCCTCTTTGGGATACCCTTCCTACCATCTCTAACTCCCATCCATACTTTATAGCCAACCCTAATGTCACCTCCTCTGGAAGCCATTTCTGATCAACCACCTCATAGATGGTTGGAATTCCAACTCCGGGTTCTCTTATACCCAGTGCCACTGCTACCAGCATTGAATTATAATAAACTGCTAAGTGAATAATCTTCTCCGCCCACCTCTTTAGTTTTTGGGTTTCTTAAGGGTAAGAAATGTGGCATCGCACCCTGGCTGGTTTGGCTCAGTGGACAGAGCATTGGCCTGTGGACTGAATGGTTCCATTCTGGTCAAGGGCACATGCCGGGGTTGCGGGCTCGATCCCCAGTAGGAGGTGTGCAGGAGGCAGCCGAACAATGATTCTCTCTCATCATTGATGTGTCTATCTCTCTCTCTCCCTCTCTCTTCCTCTCTGAAGTCAATAAAACATATTTTAAAAATAAAATAGGAGTAAAAAAAATAAAAAGCGACATCCCTGTCACCCTGCCACAGTACCACCTGTCCCTGTGCCTGATTTGAGGGCAGCAGAGTGCCGGATGGTGGTGGG